ACTTTGGAGAGGGAAACCGACCCGGACTCACTCCAGTCTTCAATGGGTGGTTCCTTGGATTTCTCCACTCCGAGAAATTCTTGCGCGCCTGAGCGAAATCGTGAAAAACGAACGACCACTTTCCCTTCTTGGCTCTTCCTCCACGTCCCCCTGACCTGGCATGCCCTTGAGGCGTGCCAGGCTCAAGGCTTGGGCTCCTACAGTACAAGTTAACATAAGGAAGTAAAAATGAATTCGACGGAGATATGTCTGCCAACTGAGCGAGACCGTCGTTCAGGTACACTCTGGCAGCACGTGCGGCGGCCCAACGCCCTTGCGCGAGCAACCTATCGAACGAGCCGTGCTGGTTGAACCAAAACGTCGCGCCCCCACGACGTAAGCTGTAGGGTCTAAAGTGCAGGTCATTCAGACGCAGTGCATCGTTGGCTTTCGAAAACAGCGCTCTCCAAGCGTGCGGTTTGACTGTTAAAAAAACTTTGAGGGAGCAGCAGTTTGCTTCCATTTCCACAAGGATGGGAGGATGGAGCGTTCATGCAACGCGACGCTCTCTGCGGCGCCTTGTCGCGCCCCTCCCTTGGTCAGTCCGAGAGACAACGCAGCGGGTCCCTTGGGCCCTGGAATGAAAATGTCTTTCGCCCGGAGGCTCAGTAGCTCTCCTGTCCGGAGAAGTCCAAAAAAGGCGAGTCGCAACGAAAGACCAAACTCGGGGCAACCATGGAACATGGACCAGCCGCATAAAGCATCAAGGATTTGCAGTGTCATCGGAGGCGCCCGGTTGGGTATCTCCACGGCACTCCATGCCTTCAGCAGTCTCCAGCTGCCAGGAAGCTTTTTCTTGAGCGACGGATCACGGTCTTGTAGTGCCGCTAGGGTGTTGTTGGCCACAGACTTTCCTTCTCCAGAGGCCCAGAGGTGTTCGAGGTAGTCACTAACAAGTGGGTCTAAACGTGATTGCTGTTTTGGGAGAGCAAGCCCCTCCCCTGCCATCCAGTCAAAGAAACGGTTGAGACTTTCTGTGTAACGTTGTCGGGTACGAGGTTGGACTGTAAGTCCCTTGAGGGATCCTAACTTGTTTCGAACTTTCTTGCGCTCCTGTTGGCTTCTTCCTTCCATTACTTTCGTGGTTTTCTTCCCCATTTCTTTCGTAGGGGTCGGCGCGAAGGCCGATCTGCGGGGTTCTGGTGGGTGTCCACGTAACCCCAAACTCCGACCAACCCCCCTGCCAACTGAAGCGCTCCAATCCGACACAAAGTTCGTCTCAACCTCCGGCTTGAGGACCTACCCCTGGACAACGCATGCAACACAACGAGCTAGTCGACGAGGTGCAAAAGCGACAAGAACTATCTTCTAGCTCCTTCAATCGCCACACAATGGCTGTCTTTACCGCCCTCAACTCGAGTGCATTGATGCGCTCGGTGTCACCGGTCCACCTCCAACCTGCCACATCTTTCCAACGC